CTGTTGTTTGCCAGTCAGACTCCTTGTCTAGGCTACATGGGTCTCATGCAGGTCCCTCACTTTTATTCACATTTAGAGTTGTACCTTGGTGACCTTTGACCAAATAACTGTAAGCCTTCTACAGCTGGATTACCTCCTGTTTAGAGCTAAGCACCTAGATTACTCCGAATGCAGAGAGCCCAGTTTTGTTCATAAGGTTGAAATGTAGGAAACACTGGAATTACAGGCTCAGGAAAGCACAAAAAATTGCAGTTTACTCTTCAAGTGTCTAGTGGTGAATAGGGCTGAACTGAAGATGCATAATGAAGGAACCATCTACTAACATTTCTACTTATGAAAATCTGCATATTGTAACTTTTCTAATATGGTTTGGGTTTCACAGCCTCAGAATCTTAAGACAAGCTGAATATATTTAGTAAAAGATCATTTGATAGGTTGATAATTAGAAAAAATTCAAATACTGACATACTGAAAAATATGTTCAGCCTATCTAGACAAATGTACTAACCTATATTGCCCTTCAGAGCTTTGCATGATGGTCCTGACAGCTTGTAATTTCTGTAACATTTTCACTGTGATGGGTTCATCTTTACAGGAAGGCAGAGAGACTATGAACAGCAATGAGCCAGGATCAAAGGCTAAGGTTAGATAGGGAAGAAACTCTTGAACTCACATATTCTTGCCTTTGTCAATCTACACTAAATACCATGGCATAAAAACCAGATCCCTCGATATTTTGGACAATATTCTCAAACCCAATATTTAGTATGTGGCTATAACACTCAAAGATGTGGCAGTAGGCTTTCAGGAACCAAGTCTTTAGTACACTGACTCTAACTAGCTGGGCTGCCGGTAAGAGCCTGAGCGCAGCAGCTTGTGCTCCTGGTGCTGAGTTCCCACAAAGGTCTGTGTAATCATTCAAAACCCCGTGCTGTCATGGCAAGATAGTTACCGGTACCTGAGCTGACATGCCACCAACTCACCTTCTGAAATGACATCTTGGTGGGTCTTTGGAAACTGAAGGACTCAAAACCCAGATATATTTTACTCTGGTACTTCCGTGTCATCTTCAGCTACCCAGGCAGATGTTCATTACTGTTCTCTGTTACCTGTAACTGGGTGACATTTTGCTGGGCAAGGTTCCGAGTTGCTACAGAAACTGTCTCTGCAGCTCCAATCAAGCAAGGCTCTAGTGACAAGACTCATGCTTTCAGCAGGAACATAAATAATTCACATTTTTGCTGGCCTGCTCTCCATGCCTTCCCTACAAGCAGGCTGGTGGCTCAAGGGAAAGCAGCTGTGATTAGCTGGAACTCATCTCTAGGGAGTTAAAGACATGTTTATTTAAGTATATTATATTTTCAAAACATTTTGCTTCAGAGCCTAATACTTATTTGGAGAGAGGCAATACCAGTAAGCCTGTCTGCCAACTGTTTTTCAGAAAGATAACAGGACAGACTCTTCATTTAACTAAACCCACTCCTAATATATCTCATCACACTCCACCAGTTGTCCCTCACTGCAGTACAGCCGCCAAGGAGGCAGCTGGCTTTCTGACTGATAAAGCATGGTCATGTAACACTGTGGAATTAACCTGGAAAAGATTGCCCGGTGTTTCAGATTTGTTTGGTCTTCCCTACCTGCAGGTAGCAGCAGCTGTTGGCACAGGTATCACTGGGTAACCGCAGCGGTGAAGGACTCACAACATTTAGGCTCTGTTTATGCACGGTGCTGGAACTACTTGTTAAAACATCACATTAAGCTGTGTAACTACTGAAATACTTCTTCTACAGATAAATTCAAAAGGATTCCCTCTGTATGAGTTGTAAAACCTTCTCACTCTGACTTTTCCCATCTATACAAACTATCAGTCCAGTATTGATTCCATTCCCCCCTCAACCATGCTTCTGCTGTTCAGATCTGGGAGTTCAACTCTTCCTTGTGCAACAACATCCCATTTTACAATTATTTTCAATGAATATGGGATGGATGTCAATGACTATGGGATGGCCATCAATAAGTATGGGGTAAATGTCAAAGAATATGGGATAGATGGGAGTCTGCAGCAGCAAGCCAAGTTCTCATCCACTTGCCTAAGAACTTTGTGAGTAAATTCCATGTAATTAAACAGTATTTAGGTTGTATTTGTGTTTAACGTGACTGCAGCTAGTCTGGCCTCTGCTCAAGTCATGGACTGACCTTTTTGTTGTGTTACAGTGTGGTCTTACAGGAAGTACACTCTATGGTATGTAATCCATGTAAAAATAAAAAGTCCTTTAGCACTTACATGTCATTTGTCTTCTTTAGTGGTCAACTGCATCTGCTGGAGTTCGTGGGTGCCAGATCACTGTACTGGGAACTGCCACCTGAATTACAGCCCCTCCTGCCTCCCCTGTCCCCATCACAGCTGGCTACAGGACATTCTGTATTTTTTGACACTTCTGTGCATTGCACCAGCTTACTCAATATTTTGAAGTTGGCGTGGGAGAATGTATCTGCTTTTCCTCGGTCCCTTTTTAGAAATATTTCTAGCCTGCCAACTCTGTGGAGTAAACTATAAAGAGACTGAAAAGCTCTAGACTTCTGGTCATGGTCTCTACTCTGAACAGTGACAGCACATGGATCCACGTCAGGGTAAGGACCTATTCCAGCCATATCCACGCAACTGCCATTTCTGCCACAGAAAGCAGTTGCAGGGCATGACAGATGGTGGAAGGTATGTTATGATCCGTTTTACTTCCCAGATCCGTTTGGGAAAACCAACTGCTGACCAGCTCCATCTCAGCTTGTATCTGTGCACCTGATCATTTATGCCTTAAGTGTATGACTTTCCACTGGTCCTCATTGACTTGTAGCCCTCAAAACATCACTCTGATTGTCATGTTTGTTTTGAATTTGAATCCTATCCTCCATTACAGCTACAGCCTCCACAGTTTTGCACTATCGGCAAATTTCATACATGTATTTTCTATTCCATCATCTGCACTGTTAGTGAAAGCATTTAACAAAGTAGGATAGTCCCCTGTAGTCACCTTTCTGAGTTGAAAATTTATGAAAACAGATTGGTACTGACCCTGTAGGAGTTTCAGCTAGTTTGTTTATGAGAATGCGCCATGAGACAAAAATTTCACTAAAGTCCATATATCTGATATCTACTGCTTCTTGCTTATTTATGAGACTTTTTAGCCTATCATAGAAAGAAATTGATTGCGGTTTCTACTTGATATAATCTCTACCTGATGAATCCATAGTAGCTGCTAGTCCTGTCCTTGCTATTTTCCAAATGCTTACAAATAACTTTTTATCTGCTTCAGATTGAAGGAACTGAAGATGGCTGGTCCTTAATTTGTTAGTTCCAAAGACCAAACCCATTAGATTCTGCTTTTTATTGACAATATTAAAGTTACACACCTTACATTAACACACTAGAAATGCTGGAAGTGTTTTTCATAATGAATTTACAGCCTGCACAACTGCCTGCTCACAGTGAGTGAGGATCTGATTAGCAGAGAAGCATCTGATATCTAACACTGTAAAAATCAATTTTTAAAAAATGCAATGCAAACACCAAGTTCTGAAAAGGAAGAGCTGTTCCTTTATGTCTTTATGGAAGCAGACTGAGACAGGGCCCTGCAGGTGCATCAACTCTGTTGTGCCCATGAATCACTGATAAATATTTTCTGAGTACAGTTACACAACCAGTTTTGCACCAACCCTACAAGAGTTACAGCTGCTTTGCTTATGGGACTGTTATGTTAGACAAAAGCCCTACTGAAGTGGACATGTTCAGTGATTTTTTTTCCCTCTCCAAGTGGCTTCTTACCCATAAAAGGATTTGATTGGTTCGATGAGTTTTTTTTCAGAAAAATTTATGTTGCCAATTGCTAATGTTGTTGTTACTTACCACAGAATAAAAAAATAAAACTGAAATGTTATTAAAGATTTGCAAGGGATTTAAAAAAAATATATGTATTCATTAAAAAAAAAAAAAGCAAAGTTCCATATTTTCTTTAACAAAAGCACATTGTCCATCAGAAAATGCATGGTTCAACTGTGAGATACAAAGTAGTTTTCCCCGAAGTCAGTAGATAAGGGGGGTATGTTTCTTTCTAGCTCTTCAGTTAGATTAGAAGGAATTGAATTTGATACGGCTCCTCAGGGCATTTTTCTGGGAAGAAATGTGATTCCTGACTGAAAATCTCTTCTCACTTGCTTAGAAGTGTCAATTTTGGGATCCAACTTACACTGCTAGCCCAGTGATAGCTTTGTATTGTGGTGAAAAATCTTTGTGTGTACTGTATTGCAAAAGGTTTCCAGCATTTCTTTTGAGAAGAAACTTGGTCTCAGGATGGCATTATAACTTACTTAACACAGCTGTGTTCCAGTAACACTCACGGGACCTTGAGTAGGTGCTAAAACCAGCCCCCTCTCTTTTCACACTCCCATGCTGGATGCCTTGCACTGCTATGCATCTCCCTACCAATACCCTCTCTTTCTTCTCTAATTTTCAGTCTGGACAAGAAAATGCATGCATGGGTCAGAAGACAATTATTTTTGCAGTGACCTGAGTTTGTGTGGTCATTAAATAAAATTGTTGCTGGCTCAACTGCAGAAATGCTTCCAAGAAACTAATTTATCTTTATCCCACCCTGGTCAGCCCTCCTGTGTAAAACAATATAAAAAAAATACCAAACGGCAGTGGGCCAGATTCTGCAGCCAATTACACCAGAGTAACCATATAGAAGGTGGGGGGACAACAGCATTATCAGCAAATTATCTCTTGTTATCCAGAATAAGCTTTTCCCTGATTCTCCAAACAGGATTTTCCTGTTACTGTGTGGGCTGGAAGATTTAAATACAGTCTGACTCTTCCTACTGCTATGATTGTAATTGTTTCCCAGAGATCTTTATGGATATTGAGTAAGGAGGCATAAACCTGCTCGGCAGAGTGGCATCAGTGCTCTGCAAACCCAGTCTTTCTAGCGGACAGCTGTCGCCATAGCAAAACAGCCAAGTGAGCAACCGCCCCCCTCAAGCCTTTACATTAAGAAATAGTTTTTGACTTAAGCCTATTTTGTACCTTGTAAGAAGAAGATTAAAAGAATTAAAGAGAAACCAAGTGACCTGTCTAGTCCATTTAATATTAAGCATACAACACACAGCTTCTTCTTATACAGGGGCAGAATAAGCAGAAGGACATGATCATACACCTTTTATGCTGCTCTTGAAAGTATTCCCCCCGCCACTCCGCAGACCCTACCTGAGGGCTCCTGCACAAGGGCCAGGTGAACCAGGCACTTCTTTCATCCGTGGCCTGAGCCCACCCTGCTCATCACATCAGTGCAACAGTGGCACGTTGATGTGAGGGATGTGGAGGGGACAGAGGATATGGTCTTGAACGCAGGGGCCTGTAGCAGATCTGTGCCTGTCAGCCCGTTCTCCAAGGCTGCAAGACAAAGTGATAAAAGCACAATGACTTCTTTACATACTGGTGGTGCCTAAAGCCCTCGCCTTTCCAGCTGAGCCCCCAGTAATGCCAAACTGAAGTGTAACCTTCTTAAGGACTTCACAGACAGCACAGAAAAACAATTCACTGGCTGGCCTAAGCAGGGATGTTTAGAGAAGTACTCAAAATGTTCTTCTTCAAGACCATCGTAAAAGTCCTGGGTTAATTCCCAAGTGCTTTTACAATCCATTTGCTTGAGTTGCTAGCAGGGAAAACCCCAACTACAGTTTATCTGCATGCTGTAGGAACATACAGCTGCCCAATACCCGTCTGTTCACAGCACTGCGCTTGTCCAAGAAGTACTTACAGTAAATATTGGCAATCATAAACAATCTGTAATGAACTAACAAACTGTCCTCTTTACACTGGGGGCAGCTGGTAAATTGGGATATACTGTGAGAATCACCAATTGGAGAATGTGCCAAGTGAGGTGGGGATTAGGACAGGTTACTAGCCTGGTAATGATCAGTTCTTGCTTCAAGTTGGGTTTATATGAGGTAATACCATGTTTGGGTAGCTTGGCATTTAGACAAAGGGTGAAGGGAATGTATTTCTATGCCTAATTAACCACTTCATTGTTGTGAAAGGAGCCAGAATCTAGCCCCATAGTAAAACCAATCCTCAATAATCCATATATATATATATATATATATATATATATATGATATGCTTTATATTTTATATGATTTAGGCTGCTATTTCAGTTAAGTCAATAAATTAGCAGATTCAAATTATCCAGTCACTAAGTTAACACAGCAGATAACCAGAATATATGCATACTGATGAGCAGAACTCAGCAGTAAGCAGCTGCATTAGTAGGTTGCTCATATAAAATCTTTTTAGATTCTTATCTGCTTTTTCTTCCTGTCAGCAGAAATTCTGACTTCTCCTTTTGTCCTTTTCCCCCTCGTTGCTTCCATCACAGGAATAAGGAAGTACACATGTAACTATTTGTTACACTATGTGAAATACTGAAAAAAATTACACATTAACACATAAATAAGTAGGAGGACAGAAATATGCTTTGTTCAAGCTCTGCATTTGTCATAAAGGGCCCCATGCTGAAAGCTTTGCAAAAGGATGAGCATTTAAAAGGGCAAAAATCAGACTGATTAATATAGCCCAACAAGTTAGACTCATACAGCACCTCAGCAGAGCTTTCTCCTTTGCCTTGCCCTTTTATTGCGCTTTACCTCTGTACTCACCTTGTGTAAATGTGAATGATCAGGAGAGCAACTTGATGCTTTCAGGCCAAAGTTTAACAAAGGGTTTAAATTCAAGTCACTATGTTCTGCAATTTACTCTTGCCGTTTAAGTTTGCAAATCAATACACTAAGCATAGGGTGGGGGAACAACATTTTCAGCAATTAACTAAGGAATTCACATTATAATCCTGCAAGACACCTAAAGGCAGGCATGTCCTAATTTTGGAGGTAATAAACATATATAATGATATTAGCACTATGGTAGAGTCAGCAGATGTTTGAGGTGGACCTACCTTCAGTCTTCCCTTGAAATAAATGTTCCAAACCACAAAGCTCCTAACTTCAGAAATCAGATTTTGTTAAAACATGAAGGAATACCTTTTTTAAAAAAATAGAGAACATTTCAAGTGAGGCAGAACAGAAAGTTTCTAAATTAACTCCTTGTGGGACAGGTCCTTTCTTACAAATGCTTCTCTGTCCCATCCTGCTTTTAAAATGGTTCACCCCACTCATTGTGCTTAGCTGTGCCAAAGAAAGTATGTCGTCCCCTTCCATGGGTCCAGCCATGGCTGCGGTATCCAAACAAGACAGAGGCAGCCTTCCTCCCTGGTGCCAAACACCACCCCGCATGTTTTATTACATATCATGTTCCAGGGAACAGGATGCATAGAAAACTGAGCAGAACAGGTACTACCCCTGCAGCCTGGTAGAGTAGGCCCAATAGCTGTGGCTCCTTTGCCCTGCAGCAGTCAGTTAGATGCTCCATGCAATTGCCTACTTTGTCTTGTTTCCAGCCTGCTGGGTATCCAGGTAAGTGTTCATTACAGGTGAATATTTCTGGCAATTGTGTGTCTTGTGTCGCCTTACGCAGGTGACGGAAGGCACAGAAGCAAATCCCTAGCACGTAAGCGTATTTATAAACAGCTACATTATTGCTAGATAGATAACTATCATGGGGTTTTGTATCAGGGATGTTACAGCCCGCGTAATGTAAGGGATGTAGGTAGTTGCTTTGGAAACAGACACAAGAGGCTGGTGATTTCACACCAGAGCTTCTGTATGCCTTCAGTTTGTGACCCAGGTTGTAGTCTAATGAAGTGAACGCATTTTGTGTCCCATGCACAGGTGGCATAAAAAGGGAGAGTGCACAAACATGAATCTCACAAAGCACATTACTTACCTAATTTACTTACAGTTTCACCAAACTGATTAAAACCAAAGCAATGTTCTACATTTTATATGATTTAGGCTGCAATTTCAGTTAAGTCAATAGATTAGCACATTCAAATTATCCAGTGACCAAGTTAACACAGCAGATAACCAGATTACAGAATGAAAGAAGTAATTCTTTCTTTTACCCTTATCATGGAATTTAATGAAGGTCTAGTTTTCCTTTAACCAGAAAACCCAGCTACTATTTAGTTAATAGTTTATTGACATAGTTAACATGTCACTGGAGGACCCTGTCATTGCTGGGCATAGGTGGCTTGTTGAATAGTAAGTGTATATTTTGGTCTTAGGCCAGTTACATGATCCAAGCAGACAAGACCTGTACCCATGCTCAGCCCAACAAAGTACAGTTATAAAAACGCCTGTGCCACATCTTCTTTAAATCTCCCTGTTAGTATACGTTAGCAGTTCCACATTGTTCTTTGTTATCACTATGCAGTAACACAAAATATTTTGAAGATTTAACATGTAGATGATGGTTGAATCATCTCCAACAGCAGTTTTCAAATAGCACTGTTTTTTTCACTGAGAACATACCCGTGACAGAGTGCTTTCCATTTTTAGCAATTGTAAAAGATACAGTTCACCCTCCTCTCTGGCTGTGGCTTAATGACAAAGTAAATCCAACATTAGGATCCTTAGTATCAGACCAGATATACCATAACCCACTATCCAAGGTGTAGATCCAGCTTTTACTCATGCTGCCAGTTAAAATTTCTCTAAAAGTTTCACTGATTTCACACTGACACGCTTAATGTGATTACAGCTACTGCTCTCTCTGTGCCATTGTCACTTTATGTTAGATCAGCTACCAGCTGTTACAAAACTCCTATGAACTCCATACCATAGATACTCAATTCAATGGAAATGTGGTCACATGCCCACTCCTAACTTGAACCAAAGCATATGTTTGGGGATACACTAGTGCATGGATCTAGTAATAAAAATGTTGGAAGCAGCCTCACACACACACTGCATGCATACTAAAAACAAGACATGCTTTCACTGAGAAAAACTTAAAAAGTTCAAGCAGCTGTTTAATTTCTTAGGACCTCTCTCCTTAGTCTGGGATTTTACCAAATTAGGTGTTCTTTCATAAGGGTGAAAGGCAGCATGTGTCAGGGTCTCGGTTGTGAAAACTTAGCACTGAATTCTGGCTGAGATTGCAAACACAAGACCTACATCAGTATCATTTTTTTATATATAAAAATAATTAAAATTTCTTCAGCACAGTATCTCCTTAGATCCCTTTTTTTCTTGTCAGTCGCTGTCATGTTTTCAGCATTTTTAAAGCACTGCGGATTTTTACTGCGAAGGAATAAGAAGAAGTAATAAGAGCTCACAGCTTATCTTGTTAGCTTTTGACTTAAAAAACACAAGGCTATTTGGCATTTTATAAAAGGACATTCCACTCATAGCTAAGTTTTCTTGTTCCAGTTATCAAGGGGCTTTTAAAAAACCTCCCATGTTCTTCTGTGTGAGTGAATATTTAGGTTTGGGAAGACAGCGTACGCTATCAGTTGTGGTTGCAGTGTCTCAGGGAAGAGTGAGGAGTAGAAATAGTAGGACAGAAGGCATCATCACTGCTTTAAGTCAGTTCTTGGACTCCTGACTACTTGTGTTCAGTTTGATTTCTGAAAGATCTCCGTGTACTGCTTAGCATCTCCACTGCTTTAAAATTGACCTTTGTGTATTAAAAAAAGCGCCATTTTTCATACACTCAAGTTTTACACTGTTGATTTGTCTTGAAAGACTGACATGTCTGCCCTGAGCCACTCATGACCAGTAGACAGAAAGGCAGTGAGTGATATTTCCATGTACTTCCTTCATCATAGAAGCTGCAGCACGTATTGATTCAGTAGAAAAACAGATCTTGCAATAACTGCAAGGACTTCTAATCATTACAGTCCCAGGTGGTTTTAATGCTTGTCTTAGTTCAACTCAATATAATGACTGGAGTTTAAATAGCATGTGCATAGATGTTGTTACTATAGTAAATCTCTTTCCCTTGCCTTCTCACAAGATGAAATATCTTTTTAGCACGGCTGCAAGGCACAGACAAGACATCTGCAGGAAAGAGCAGAGCGTGTTCTGCTGATAAGAAGCTACTTTTTGAAACAGAAATAGCCCCTCCTCCAAGCATGTGTTCTCTTCAAACGTGTCACAATTTCCGTTACTAAAGTCCATCCTGTCAATTCCTTCCTTGTTGATTTTGGTAAAAGTTCATCCAAATCAAGTAAGTGATGACAAACCCCTGCTGAAAGTAAGATTCCACTGGGAACAGTGAGCATAGCAATTAAAATGTCCCACAAGAAAAACCATCATGTCACGTCTGTATTTTCCTCGTCAAAGATTTTGCAAAATTCTGTGCCTTGATGAAGCACCTGCAAATTGTCAATATCCAAAGGCACTGCATTTCAAATCTGGAAAACTGTTGGCTCTTTTACCTCACTGATGTAATTTAGCTTGTTCTATCTTCTTTTCTCTTTCTCTCTGGGATATTATCTAAAAAAGACTTGGTTCTAGGAAGACACAATGGCTCTACAACTGGCACACAGATTACACATGAGTTCACACTGTATCATCTGGATCCAGTGACAGGCAAGACCAATAAGTGACTTATGATACTGTCCAAGAGATGAACAGGAATGTCTCACTGGCAGAAAGGAATTAACAACAACATAGCTCTGTGGTTTCCAGCTATTTGTCAGCACACCCATCACTGTGTAGCTGCTGAATATGCAGCTCTTTAGCCAGACAATGTTTTCAAAGTTAAACTAAGCCACCCTGAATAAGAAAGAGCATCCAACCTGCTTTACCTAAGCCCCTGCTATAGTATGTAGAGAAAGGATCCAACTGTAAGAACCTGATGGAAGAACTTATGTTCTGTTTTCAGACATTTCAGCCCTTGAAGGGTCAGATGTCATACTGCTGAGATTTAGCATTAGGGGCTCACTCCCAAAGGCAGTGAAATACAATCTGGTGGAGTACTGCAGTATCTGCCTTCCAGCTGAAACCAGAACTTCTTGGGCCCCTGGTCTTATTAAGCTATGGGAAGGGAGTTAGGTGCCTTGGCATGCCACACAAAACAGTGTTCTTCTTGGGGAAGAAACCACTTCAAGTCAATATGCCAGGTGGGAAGCTCCCTGTAAGAAGCTGGAGACAGGAGTATTTATTGCCATGACTCACTCAAGGCATAGAGTTAAGGCATACAAACAAATCACTGCAAGTCCTACAAAACCATGAGGGTTTGTACAGATGGCAGAAGAGATCTTTATAAGGGACTGTGATCCATTGAGGCAGGTTTTCATAGGCAAGTAGACTTTTGGATGGCAGGGTTTTGTTACTACACAAAGAAATAGAAGTCTTCATTTTAGCAGATAGAACCAAAACTCTGTTAAGAGTTGAACTGGATTGTAAGAGTAAAGGCATCAATGAATACAATACCACAGATGTGAATGAAATTGGTCTTGATAACTACAGACCTGAAATATGGTTTTAGGACATTCTTTATAGCTTGCTTGGCTCCATTTAACAAAGCAAAAAAACCATTCTTATCAAGATGGTATTAGAGCATGATCTTCCCACAATTAACCTCTCTGTATAGATGGTCATCATACTGAAAAACAAAAGCAAACCAGAATTTGCCTCCTCCATGAAAAGGTTAAGGTCTAAATCGCTAACATAATTTAACCTCGCTTTAGGGAATCAAAACCTAGAGATTGCAGTGAATGCAAGTAGTTAATCCAAAAATCAAGAATTCATTAATTTAACCCAAACTACACACAGCTCATTTTTTAAGCAATTTAGAATTCAGATTAACAGTAATGTAGCTCAAACCTTCTCCCTAGGAAAAGGCAGTAATTAATCCAAAACTGATAAAACTGAGACTAGTTCAAGTAAAACCTGTTGTCCACTATCATCAATCCAAATCCTAGGGGACAGGCAGCAAACAACAAGGAGCCTGTACAGGGAAGGCTAAAGGGTTAGAGATGACTCAATATTGTCACTGCATCACTGCAAACAGGAAGAGGCTATTTCATAAATCATGGGTCATTTCCATAACTGGAAAGCCCATATGTACACTAACAGGTCATTACAACAAGGAATCACACACAAAATTTTCCATATTAACCTCGAGCAGAACGCAATTGCTAGACACACTTAAATCTTGCAGAAAGCTCTATGCAGTCCGGTGGAGACTGGAGACTGCTCTGGAAGAGGTACAGCATATGCTGGTGTCATGAATACACTCCTGTATCTACAATAACCTTGTCTTATCCTCCTGACCCTATTCCTCTAATCCTTTTATCATTCCCATGACATTTCTCTGTGTTCAAATACATCAAACACCATTCTTGCACCGTGAATACAGTTTTGGAAACTGGTTCAAAAGGCTTGATCCCTGCAGAAGAGGAGGATGCCAATCCTACTCATGTGTGTGTTTAGTATTGCCTGTTTTGTGGAAGGGAAAGCCAGAGTTTATCTGCTGTTTGTAGCCATTATGGAAGATGCCTCTTCAGTCTTTTGCTTGAATTGGTCACTAGGTTGCTCTATTTCTGCAGAGAGGAATGTTACCTACTCTAGAAGTACCAAAGCCTCATCTGTGCTATACTTCTGAAATAGTTAAAAATGAAGGCTGCTGGTACTCAGGTTTTTCAAAATTAAAGAACTTCAGATAGGAATTCAGTTTTGAAAACAGGTTCAGAGTGGTAAATAAACTGAAATTAAAGACAGGAATTTTTGACTCGTTCAAACCTTTAAAACTACTTAAATATGTGTAGGCAAATTCTCAACAGAACATCTAGCACAGAATATATATCACTATATATTAGAACATGATAAATTTGCCATCATCACTTACTACTACCTTTTATTATGAACAGCTCCCTAACAGATCTGCAGTCAACAACAGCCTGAACTACTTATCTTGTGCAATTGCTCCCATGTGGAATTCCACTGATTTCAGAAAAGTTAATGACTATCTACTAATTACGCAAGTAACTGTCATACTTTATGCCACTGGATGTGAAATCAGATCCATAAAATCTGTTAAGTGTCTACAGACCTCTAAAGAGGATGCAGAGTATTACCGAATAATAGTAACACCACCCTGTAGATACAGTGGGTAAGATGTGTCTTAGTTAGATGTGCAGGTTTAACTCTGAGCTAGCCTAACCTCTGCACCCTCTGTAGTCAACAGAAAGGAACAGACATCTCAAGAGATAAATTAGTCTCCCTGAAACACAAGCATGAGAATTGAGCCCCTTCCTGCATAACAGTTACACAATTAACTGTCACACACAGTGGGACTCTGAATGAGTTTGGGATCAGGCTCCTGCTAGCTTGTGTTCTGTAACCTTAGATACCTACATTAGGATAAGGGGTACTGAAATCAGCCTTGGGATGTGTGCAGTCCTCTCCACAGAGTCTAAGGAAAGCCTAAGCACAGAATGGGCACCTGTTAGGTCTCTGAAGTTCAGCAAGATGAATTCCATTCACTATCAGTGTCTTAAGTTTCAATCCCTAATAAATGCTAGAACACTGACAGCTTTTCACAAAGTTATTTTTCAAATACTTAGGTCCCAGACTGAAATAGTTCCCAATCAATAGTAACATTATCCCAAACCTGATTTTGTAAATTTAATTATGTTTGGTTATTCTCATCTGGAAGAATAACGACAAAATAAAATAAACAGAGAGGAAAACCTCAAATGAAAATCTATTAAATGCTTAATTTCTTATAATTACTAACTGAAGATAAATGGAGGATTAGGAAATAAAGGAAGCACTAAGGCCACCATGCTCAATATTCAGCCTGTAAATTGTTTAATGCAATGTATAAATGGTCTTACAGCCACCCTCTGCTGGTAGAGACCCACAAGTACAGTGGACTGGCAGCTAGAGCAGCCTCTCATTTCAAAGCTAGCAGAGATCAACACCTCTGCGGTGCATCTTGCAGCACCATGTAGTATTTGGCTACCCTGAAGACTCAGAGGTGTGATCGAGTGATGGGGAGCTGGAGGGACCCAGACCCCCTCTCTGCCCGTTAGCAGTACAGGGTGCCAGTGGGTCTGCAGTTAACTGCCATTCCCTCACTCCCCTTGCAGCTGCATCCAGCCCAGCTGCATCCAGAGGAGACTGTGATAGGGGAGAAGACACAAAGGGAAAGATTTGACTGCTAACACGATCCATGTTCTCTTCGCTGCTTTGTAGGCAAAACAGATGGGCTAGTAAACCACAAACCCTGCCTGAACGTTGACTGTATAAGCACATGCATGCTTTCATTTTGTTTAAAATAAAATTTAATGTTCATGTTCTGAAAAATCAGGGCTTCCTTTATGATTTTTACTGTTTTCTAAAGAAGCAACACAAGACCACTTTACACCTTAAGACTTAGAAACGTGAACATATCCAATGATGCCACAGACTATGGAAACAGATGAGTAGTTAAAACTATTTAAAGAAGTTACATCTTATCTACAGATGGCTTCCAATAAAATCTTTTTTTGGGATAGTGGTAGTTGGCCACACTTATTAGTGCATTAAAATGGGGAGAACCCTACAGAGGTACTGTGAAGTATTTGATTCTCCTCTTTAAAATGTTGTCAACTAGTTTTCTAAGGGATAATAGTTTTTAGACAGAACACTGTAGGCATAATATTGTAAGAAGGGATGAACTTGCTCAGCCTGCTGACAAAATTTGGCACTATTGTATTGTCGCAACTGGTTGGTTCCCAGCAATACCATGGTTCTGCATCTTCACTGGGTACCTGTAAAACAGCATTTCTGTCTTTGATGTATTTGAGGCAACTGGCTGTAGAGATCTATTTAGCCTCAGGTGTCATCAGTTTAGGAAATGGAAGGTGCTACTTTAAGTTTTTAAAATGCAAGGGTTAAAAATATGAAACTCAGCACATGAACAGCACTTCTCATCTACCTTTTAAGTGCTACTAGATCTCTTCCCCCTCCCCCTCTCCCAAGATTCAGTGGGAACTAGAGGAAATATTTTGTCCCAGAGATAAGAGATGCTGGATTAGCAGCAGATACTAAAAGATGTCTTCCAGTGCAACACATGGTCCCGAGGTATAAATTATTTGCCCAATGAATGTACTAGGAGAGGATCTAGGTCTTCTGAAGTTTGAGCTCAGTAACTCTTGCGATTTATGACCCAATTTTAACATTTGTTATTCATATATTCCTGACTTATCTAATGCAGATACATGCAGCTGTAATGTAAAACATGACAGAAATGCCACTTAAATGCCTTTGCATAAAAATGTTCATATTTGTAGAAAATGGAAAATGTAATTAAGTTACATGGAACATGTAGGGATTCTCTGGGGCTGAAACATCTGCTAAAAAAATGGAAACAGGTCAAACATGTTCTTCCCATCAATATCTGCTCTGCAGGACCCTTGGAAAAAGTGTAGAGCCACTTTCACACTGTGAACTCATTGGGGTCTTCTTACTTAGCAGAGGATTTCAGAACCCTAATGCAAGATTACCATGATAGGGCCATGAAAGAATATTTGATCCTGGTACCACTAAAGAGAAGACCAAGACACATAAGGTGCTTTGTGAAATTTTGCAGAGGTCACACTCAAGACTCCACAGATTTCTTGCACCTTGTACACAACATCCCCTTTGTTACACACTACATAAAGGACATGAAAAAAGTTCATCTGATGGCACACCAAGACACATCCAGACCTTCTGTATCTAAAGACTGCTTGTGCTAAAGGGCCGTATTAGAGCAGCTGTTTTCAAACAAGAATGGGAATGAGCTTCAGGAAGGGGGCACAGAAGCTATGAGGACAGAAAGGGACAAAGGCAGAAGACAGCACCTCTTGAGACTGATGGCCCCTCACCACCTCCACCATACAGTGCTGCTGTTCCACCACCCAGGGCAGGGGAGGGATGGAGGGCAGCATCTGATCAGACCCCTGCACCAGCTTCGGGGCTGTTCTGGACAACCCAATAAGTAAGAAGGAAAGGAGGGAGCTCTTTCCTCCAAGCTTTTTTTTCTGCTTTATAATGATGGGATGCAATAGTTGGAATTTTGCAGTCAACAGAATTACCAGCTCCACACAGCTGAACAAACAGGGAATTATCCTAGGGTTTCTCACACACATCAGGGCATAAACTACAGATTGAACACTGAGTGTGATGTACTAGGTATGGGTGACAAGGAGACACTACAGAAAAGGAAAGAAAACAAAGCTTGGAAAGCCCGTGTGTTGGCAAAACCTCTCTTAACACCTGTATTAGCTAGAAAAAAACAATGGTGACCAAAACAAAATGCCATTTGTGGATAGTGGACATGAGCAAAGTAATGCCTTGCATGCCCCGCTGTGTCACTGCCCAGTAGTAAATTCAGGGAGACTGGGGTAGCCATCCCTTTGCATCCCAGAGGTGAACGTCACCTGGAGGTTGTGCACATGAAGTACTACCATAGCACAGCGAAAGTTCAGGGTGCATGTTTCCTTTCGGAAGAGTAACACTGCTAAGTCAGCTGTACCCAGGAAGCAGGTCCACCCACACCCGAGAGCATGACTGAATGCTAGAGAGGCAGGCGTATTCCAAACCCAGGATCTTGGCTGTCATGACTCGTACCTATATTTACCTTCAGATAACAGAGAACTGACTATAGCAAAAGGCTAAGATATTTGAGATACTGTCAAACCCATGTGAATGAGGCTGCAATGCCACTCAGAATGAATGGCAGCAATGTCATCCATTCTGGAGAGCCACAACACTTAAGTGTTGACAGAAACTTGTGAGAGACCCCACACATACCTGCTTCCGTGGCCAAGCATGTCACATGATTCAGTACTCATGACAAGGGTAATCCACAGCCAAATAACCTTCTTAAGGATGAGAGTTTGAGACAAATATGATAAGAAATTTTAACAGAACAAGAGAATTCGCACAAACTGTATTTCACAGAATCATCTAAGTTGGAAAAGACCTTGGAGATCAACCATATTTGTTGGGGACCAGACCGTTATGTTGGATCTGGTCTCAAGAGGGAACAGCTACTCCATCCCAGGAGTCTGCTGGCAACACAGAGCTCCTCTATTTTTCTGATTGCCCTGGCTTAATTTATATTTTATAAAATATAGATTTAATATTTTTATATATATAATAAATTGTTAATGTAGGAATATAATGTATGCAAATGTATTTAAATATATACATTTTAAGATACATATATATTCCCAGGTATGTATTTATAAATACATTTACACTATTAAAATATTTATATTGTATAAATTAAAAATATTCATTACTTATAATGAAGAGTAAGCAAATTCATTTCTTTTCATTAGACCTACTAAAATAAACTCTTTCTTCACCCACTTGTTTTCCAGGAGGTAGCACTGGGACAGCGGTTGCTCCAGTCACAATCTACCCTGGAGATGAGGGAGCTTTTAGTGGTCAGGAACTTGCAGACACCTAAATGGATCTCATGATAGGAGCTAGTAAATCATGACTGCCCTTCATCCCTGGTGAGATGTAGGACCCACTTCGCTGTGCAACACCCTCCTGCCAGTTCACCTGAGGACTGCATCTCCCTCAACCTTTCTGGAAAAACAAATGAGAAGTAAACAGCAGTAATCTCTTAGGGGATGCAATTACTATTTTAGCTGACATTTGCTAAAGCAGAGCAAGCCACTGCACATGTCACTATGAAACTGCTGCCACCACATCATCCTCATCGAAGACTTCACCACTATCAGAATGGAGGCTGCTAATCGTATTTGCATTGTGAAGAGTTCATGGTAGCAAAGCTGACTTCACTCATATCAGGAGCACTGCAAAAACACTGACGTGGAAAACTGAGATTGGGCTTTTAATCTAACATATGTGAAACATTTTAGTACCCTTTTTTTTTTTTTTTTTTTTTTTTGATCTACTCTGCCATTAAATATAAAAAGGGATATTTGGCTGTGAGTGCAGGGGTAACATATAATGCCCTAACTGTAATTAGTTCCATCATAGGAGAATGTATCAGTACTCTCTGTGACAGTGAAACCCCCCCTAACTGAAAACTCCTCCACATTTTATTCCAGCTTGCTTCTCCCGCTGGGATTTGTCTGGACCACACCTAGCAATCACCAGTGCTGCTTACAGACATCAGGGTTTCTCAAACTGCTGCTGCCTGGTCAGGCAGCTACACGCAGCAAAACATTTGGCTGGGTCCTGAGAACAAAAGTGGAAAAACATGGTTAACAAAAGCATCAATGTGCACAAGGGACACCCTGCTGCTGCTGCTCCTCCCCCACAAAATAAACTGCAGCCTTAGATGCACGATTTAGAGACCGAGGCTTCAGCAACAAGACCAAGAATTTCTGACTTCTGCTGTGCACCTGGCCATATTGCAAATGCTCTAAACCAGCTCATTAACCTGATCCAGGTTTTAGAAAGCCGCACAACTGCAAACCTCCTCTGCTTCCACCTGGAGCCATAAAAAAAGCATACATAGGGCAGGGAGTGTCCGCTAACACCCCGATTAAGACACCGATAGCTCACCATGCTGCGCCAGATAGTTGTGTTGGCATGAAAGAGAATGGTGTACTGTGGCACAGGAAGCCCAAGAGGCGAAATATAATGCCAAACTCCAATGTCACCACAGCTGCTGCATCATGCAACTGTATTTTCTGACAGCTTAAAGCAGGCAGCTCAGGTAATACACCTCCCAGGAATGCATGCCCAAAAAGGTTCTACTGCATACAAAACTCTTACGTGCATGAATCCAGAACCTGAGGAAAAGACTCTACTTTGAGCAAGATAAATAGCCATCTTCTCACCTCTATGTTGTTTTGAAAAGCCTCTCCTATATTGCAGCGTCAGACCTATTAAGACATGAAAAAAGTATCTTTCTCACCTTGAGCACTTCTGTGCGCAGAAAAGACTTGTAAGATTCTGGGTCGTGCAAATCAGTAGGTAAAGCGATCAATCCTAGCATGTCCTTTCTTAAGTCTGCAAGAGCAGTGTAACGCTGTTTTTTTCATAAAGTCGTGCAACAGTAAACCAGAGGCTGTAAGAGTAGCCACTGAATTCATCCTGAGGAAGCAGGCTTGTGTAAACCTGACCTATGTGGACTGGGGCCAAGACATAAAGGTTAGCTGCTTACCAGCAGTCCACTAAATTATATCCTTAGGATACTGCATGACAGAACTGAGCAAGTGAAACCATGTGAGTGGAAACTTGGCCAGGAACCTAAGATAGTTGTTCCCAGTTTTCCAAGAAGAGGTATTTGCAGAGAAACAGCAAAAAACAAACAAATAATAGGGTGGTAGGTAAGAGCAATAATGTACAGAAAAGCTAAAAGTGTGGGTAAACAACAGAGTCCAAGGCAAGGAAGAGAGAAAATCCAAGAAATTCCAGCACAGGAGATACTATCAAATGACGCTCTCACTGGAGTTGTGCTTTTTCCACAGTGCAGCATTACTTACCCAAAAGGAAGTGGTTTGTGTGCAATACTGTCGTTTAGGTACTCACACTGCCAAAACTTCTATTTTAAGCTGAATCATATAGGAAGCAACATATATTTTGCACCACTGCATCCAAATAGATGGAGAACCTGAGAACACTAGCATGATCAATTTAGTTGCAGGACTTCCTTAGAAAATAATGGTGCACAATTTCACAAAATTCCAGTTAAAATTAATTTTTTACCTCTGGCTATGGCTTGCACATTCTCCAACTCTTTTCCCCTACAAACTTTACGAAAACAAGACAAGTGTTGGAAGTCTGCCATAACGGAATGTTCACATTGCCTTTGTCACACCATTAATCATTTGTCAAAACATATTATAGCCACAAAGATATTTTTAGCGGGCTGTTAATTTCAGTAGTTTATGTTGACCCTTCCAACAAATTCCCTGTTTTTTGTTTTTTTTTTTTTTAAGAGCTAGTACCATGCTTGAGGATGTCAGCTCACAGACTGCTTGTCTGCAACAGATGTGCACATTGGCTGAGCAGTATGTTACTGACTCAGTTTTACCACTTACACAACAAAAAGGGACCTTTCCAGGATTAGCGGCGAACGAGGTGCAGAGTGTAACCACATGATACCCCTACCTGCTTTATGCAATACAGGGTTTTACTTCTGTGCTGAAGAGGGCTGTGCACACAAAGCTCACCTTAAACAGCACAGCCCGTGTTCTCTTGCTCAACATGGAAATGCTTAGGTGCACCTGGTGTGTACAACTGGAACACGGGCAACCAAAGGATTTACCCTCAGCCCTGGAGCCCATCTGAGTCATGTTTGTGTGCCAGTCTCCAGCAACCCATGGGTGGGGAAGGTTTCTTATCCTCAGAGAAGTGCTGCAATCAGCCAAACAGCTCTGCGTGAGTTAGGTGAACCAAACAAAACTATTATTTTTAAATCAGGAAATACTTAATTCAACAAAAACTGAAGCTGCTTAGGTGGTTTTGGATAGTTGCATATATGCTCTCGTCAGTGGTCATCTTAGGCCATCCCACCTTGAGATAGCTGTATGTATCCAAGAAACAGCTGCAGAACATACACAACTTTTGAGTCTCCTCTGTTGAGCAGGTTTCCCCCTCTGCTAGGGTGCCTTCTCAAAAAGGAGCTTCCCACAACTGGAGTCTCTTGTACTCAAACTACCTGCAGTTCTTCCAAAGCCCATGACAGTGCCCTGACTAGCACTTTTAAGTCCACTATTCTGATGCCCTTCTCCAGCACCTACAGTAAAAGTAATTTCCTGTTTCAGTATCAGATGAGTTGTCACTTAAAATTCAAGAGAGTTAAAAGTTGTGGAAGGAACCAATTTTTTTTTCTCTCTAAAGTGAGTTTTTTCAGATACCAGTTCTTATGAACCCTGGGACTTGCAGTAACCTCCACACCCTTTTGTGTTGTGTAACTGCCATTGAACTGCTGCCATGTCTCAGTTGAAGAGCATGTCTGTGCTGCCTGAAGAGGTTGTCCACTGCTCTTAGAGCACTCTTCTTGTACTGAAAGATAAAATAAATTAACACTTTATAATTAGTCACTAGAATTATTTTCAGAGATGCTTTACAAACTTTTCTGGCTATGCAGAAATACTAGGTTCTTCCAGAAATTGCTTTCACAGCTACCTTCCCACAATTTCATCGAGAACACTTAATAAGGAACAGAAGCCTTCCACTCTTAGCTGTTTCTTCAAGCTCTTCCTGTTTGAGAACAAAAAAGACAACACAATGTATTTTTCTGTAGTTATCAGTAAGATACTAGGAAACTGTAACACAATATAGAAGTACTTACCTATTATATTCAGCTCAATTAACTCTCTTACCTTTCACATTGCAGTTCCAGACTCTTTGGGAAATAGTTGTTACGTCCATGGAAGACAAACAAAAAAACCTTTCACAGCAGCTTCATCAGCCTCCAGAATCTGAGCAATAACTTTGATGTTAAAGAGTTTACACCCTTCCCCCATTGGCTTTGAAGCAAACAGTTGGTCAGTGACACTTAAACTCTCCTCCTTCCTCCAAGGGGACTGTGGACAACTAAACTTTACAGCTGGGATAATTAAGAAAAGGGGATTGTAAAACAAAAATTATGTGCCAAGACTAGCATAGATCCTATCAACCACCCTTACAAACCATACTGCAGTCCCTGCTTGAGCGCGTATGAAAATCCTTTCATCTGGCTAATTTGCATACTAGGAATTATGTAGGCCTGACGATTTGCAAGAACTGAGACAACCCCAACATCCTGCCAGTCCTCTCTGCTGCACTGACATGGATGTTGACACCATGACACCAGAGTAAGACACCTTAAAAGTTATGTTATAGCATATTTGCATACTTAGTCTCATAAATCCGTGTATTTCTCATGCAGGCTGTAGAGTTGGTTTTGGTGTGCTATCCAGTGCAGGCTCAATTTAGAGCATCCCAATCCTTGAAGTTCTCATTAAAAGCAAGAACTTGTCAGAATAAAAGCCGAGATATGAAGCCAGGTTACTACATATGGACTTCGATTAAGCAATTTCTTCTTTGAACAAAGGCATCACACATTCATACTTATCCTTATCTTCTACATCCATCCTGCAGGGTCCTCCAAGTGCTTCTTCTGGTCCTCAGGACACTGGATGGTTGCTTACCTGAGTCCACAGTGACCAAAATCACTTTAGGAAAAAGACAACCCGTAGTTTCTGCAGTGTAGGGTATCAGCATAGTAGCCCAGTACAAAATCTAAGCATCACAGGCTCAGGACATACAGACACTGGAATAACTTTTCATTAAACAGTACTGAAACAGAGTTTAACCGTGTATTTAAGAAACACCAAAGGCAGGCTTTCAAATCTATCATCAGCTTATGTCTTCTCATATGAAATGCTGAGACAACTTATCTCTGCAACAGGACTGTAAGCTTCTTGTGGATCTTGCAGTTAAGACCTGTTAGGTCAGAAGAAGCTTGGACATTAGTGCTTTCAGGTGAACTGAGTATCCAAGCCTGAGACATATAACACAGGTTTCACCATTAACATTTCTGACAAGTTGTGATCATACACTGATATATGAGACACACTCTAAAATGACAAAGTGAACTACACACACAGAGAACTAGTTTACTTGTCTCTTGCATCAGGCATTCATTTGCCTTGTTTCCGTATTTCCTTTTTTCTGTAACTTTTCTACATTTCAGTATGATACAGCAACTCTTAGCTGAGACATCTGTGGCATCTACATGTTCAGATAAACATGGTATCAACAATGAAATAAAGTTATCTGTAAAGCAGGATGCATCCTTATCTCCTCCCCAGAGGACACAATGGGGAAAGGGAGGAAGAGAGAATCGGTGCCGGTGAAACCAATTGCTTCTAACCAGTTTAAAAAACAAAGTATAACATCATTAGGTCAGCAGATCATCTCAGATGGAAGATTTCGCATCCATGTTTTCTGCCAGTTATAGAAAAGAGAACCAAGCTGCCCCATTATTCCACTGCAATACTTACCATTGTTGCTTGGCATCAGCTGCACAGATGAGCACAGACTTAAAAGTCTACAGTGGGCAACTGTTGTGACAGAAGGCATCACGTCACTGCCCCTTTTTTCCCCACCTACAGCACACCTAATCTAAAGGTATCTGTGTAAAGAAACAGAAGTAGAAAAGAAGGGGCTGTACCTGTAATCCAGAATTTTTCAGACATACGAAACTATTACTGAAAGTTATAGCAGCAACAGAGCATTACACTCTCTCCACTCCTTTTCTTCAGTGATTAACATGCAAAACTGGACAAGCTGGGGGTGGGGAGAAGCACCTCCTGACCCAGGACACTGCACATTTTACAGGAAGGCAAGCAACTGGTTCAAATTCTTTAACTGGAGGGAGCTGTATTTAAAGAGAGAGAAGAATGGCACACACTGCTGTAACATCAACAAATCTTGAGAGGATGAAAGGTTCAGGTTAAGTAACTGCATCACAAAACATTTCATGATATCCTTCCTCTACCTTTCAAGTGTATCCTGGGGCTAACAGACTACTATAGCTGTGTAGTTACTGAGGAAATATCCTGAGCAAATGCATTTTACTTACCTCCAGGAGGAGCCAAAGTATAAAATAAAAACTTGTAACCCCCTTTTTTCATGAGCTACACCACTACTACCGGACTTTAGCCAAGACTTCCAGCGAGCCTGCAAAACTCTTTACAACTCTTTTAATGGAGTATCTTCTTGAAGTAATACTTTATTTAACAGGAATCAGCTGTAACTAGAAATGGTGTTATTTCACAAACCATGCAATACTTTGAATATCTTCCTTTCCAGTTTTGACCAGAGATCTTCCACATGTTATTTAACTTCAGTCTCCTTAAGTCTAAGTGAGATTTAATTAGTCTCTCATTTGGTGAATGGCTCATTTCCCATTCCCCAGCACAAAGACAAGCACAAGCAGGGATGATATTCAGTATAGAAAGTCTACAACTCGCTGCTCAAAATCTAGCCTACCTCCTACACACCAGTCAGAAGGCATGCTGAACTCAGACAGCACCTAGACAGCTGGCTAACCCATGCCAACACTAGACAGCAAGCACAGGTGAAAAACTGGGAAGCAAGTTAGCTTGACTGCTCCCATACCATGCTGAGAGGTCTTACACCACCTCATCCACTCTCAGCTTTTTCAAGGTTGATTTATGTCTCCATGGTCATACTGAGGACAACTGCCTTTAGGCGGGAGCAAAACTCCACCTGCTGGTCACACTAAGCAACGTATCTATGACAGCCAAGCGCTATTAGCGTCGCTATCAGACAGAAGCCACAACCCTTAAAAAGAGCCCCAAATCAGCAAACACAGGCTGTCGCCTGGTGTCTGACAAGGCCACTTCCCAGCCTGCTCCCTGCTGAGGGCCTCCCTCACCAAGGCCAGGCCAAGAGCTCAGCCTTGCTCTTCAAACCGCTCTCTATACTTCATCCGAGGCACAGGCCGAACACCTCAGCAGATACAGACCCCGCCAGGGACCCCTCTTCCCCGAAGGCGCAAGGGACAGCACCCCGAGGGCCACCGGAGCCACCCCGGCTTCCTCCACCACACACGGCTGCCTACCTCTCCAAACACCACCCCCATCCCAGCCCCGCCATGCACAGCACCCACCTGCCCTCGCAATCGCGACCAGCGGCCCTTTCCAAACCGGCCCCCCACCCCCCAGCTCCTTCCACAGACTCGCCTCAGCGGGCGCCGCTCCCGCCCC